AGCATTAGTGGTGCCTTCTGCTTTGGGCATTCCTCCTATCTTCCAGAAAACTGTTGATTATACTTGTGGCAGTTTCTTGCATGTACACCAAAACCAGCGTTTCAAAGGTGCTTTTTAAAATCAAATAGGAATTTAACAGATTAAAAACTGCTTTCGCCAGGAAAATGCAATTTTATCAAAATACATGTTAAGCTGGAAAAGAACCCATGAGTACCACGTCAAGAACTACTTGAAATTCTTATCAGAGCTTTTAATAATCATAGTGCATGTTAACAGCAAAGTGGTTAAGCTACAGAGCCTGGAAACCTATCAAAAATTCCCCCTCGCCGCCCCCCACCCCACCCCCCCTTTTCCTCACCTGTAGTCCATCTCCCATGTTTGATCTTGGTAAAGTCCATCAGTCTATAATCAGACATACGCTGCAGTCTGCATTCTTTTTCAGTCTCCTCAGAGCTACAGGTTTTATACCAGAAGCAGAGGTTACCATTTCACATGTGTTAGAATGTTCAGGGAACTGAAGGGCTCTCGTTTCGCTGCACACACACTGAAAATTTTGTGTAGCAAGATTGCTTCAGTACAAGACACAGTCTTGATTGTTTGGTTTGAGTCCTCGTCAAAACCAAGCCACCTGTCTGTAACCAAGTTTCTAAAGCTGCTGCGACTTGAATTCTCTACTACTACAATTGATATAGTTTTCCAAATATTTTAAAACCCAAGAAAAAATAAAAATAGTAAAAATAGTCCTTTCTTCTCTGTGTCCTGAATCTACTTTACCCCTGCTGCACACCACTGCCCTCCCTGCTGCCTGACATAAAAGTTTCAGAGCTGTGAGGCTTGGAAGTTCTGCAGCTGTCTCTAATTACACAATTGTTGTCCACTTTGATTTCTTTCAGCCAGAATAAGACATTATCAGTGACGTGTGCCTTACCTAATCTTCCTGACAGGAGGAGCAGCTTCTGCTCACAGAGTGTGGGGATGCAAACCATGCTCGTGCTGAATGTAGCTATGATACCGGAAGCCTGTAGTGGATGCTGCCTTGGTGATGGGACATGATGTGCCAGCAAGGGCCCCTGCACAGGCGCTGCTGAGCAGGCACAGTGCTTCCCACAGCTGAGAGCCCACTTGCTTTCTCATTGGAGCATTCAAGTATATCTGGGCTCCTGGTGTGTCTACATAGAGCACTGTCGGGACAATTTCCATCCCTGGCCTGAACTCTGCTCATAAGGTGGATACGGCTCTGAGAAAAGCTGTGGTAGATGGTCCATCCTCCCACACCTTTCAGCTGCCTTTTGGGGTGGAGTGAGAGCTCCTTACTGCTCAGAGGGCTTTTAAGATACATCATCATCTCTACCTCTTTTAGCACATAACTTACCATTTTTGAGGTTGTGTCCTCTTATCTCTCTCCTTTTGACTTTGGTTAGGGGAGGCTTACCCTGCACAATGACAACTGCTGAAACACGTATGGGCTTCAGGCGGTGTCCTTGTTACAGCAAAAGGTTCTCTGATCCAGAGATCCTCTCTGTTGCCTCGGGGGAAGCTTGTATTCCTGGCAGAGGCATCTTGCCTCACATGCAAGGCAATTACAGTGCTGTGCATCCACTCACAGTCCCATCACTAATGATTCTGTACCTTAAATATCTTCTAGTCCAACTTCCCTGCCGTGGGCAAGGACATCTTTCATGAGATCAGCTTGCTCAAAGCCCCATCTAACCTGACCTTGAATGCTTCCAATCATGGGGCATCCACGTTGTCTCTGGGCAACCTGTTCCAGTGCCTTACCACCCTCATCGTAAAGAACTTCTTCCTTACCTACTTTATTCTTCTGGAGAATAATTGCACAAGGTCAGTCCATTTTCATAAGGTACAACACCAGGATGAAATAACCATGCCATAAAAATTATGCCAATGACCAGTCTCTCCTCAGACTACTGGGTGAAAGACCAGATTTTGGCAAGTCTGCCAAGCTCAGGGCAAGACTAGTCACACAGGTCTGTATCTTCTAGCTCTCCACCTGGTACCCCAACGGGGTTTGCCAAATTGCTTCCCACTTTCCCTGTAATGAAACACTGGTCTCGAAGAACAAATGGAAGGCAATGCTACAGTACATGTCTGCCACAGGTTGCATCATCATCAATCCACAATCTCAGACAAGTGGTCTTCCAAGGAGGCAGCCGCTGTGTAAACTTGCCCTGAAAACCTTACTTCATCCTCAAAACAAGTGGGCAATGTTGCTATCTTCTTTTGCCCAGTACTAGTTGCTTGATCAGTGTTTTGCCTGTTTTGCCCACACCCAATCAAGCCTCCTTTGTACACTGTGCATGGGTATAACTATGCTGCCAAGGATAAAACCTTTTTAAAAAAGGTACTTGAAACAAGCCAAATACTTGTGTGATAGTACATACAGCAGTCCAGCTTATTCCCCTTCTTTTATGCCTGAGAGCTGGCACAGGTCTGTGTGAGCTGGCCCAATTTAATGACACTAAAAGAGTTAAAATTAGCTCAACTTTTGGCTCTAAAAGAGTGCTTCATTACTGAAAAAAATGGGCAGGTCTATCAGGCACACAGGGAGACACCAGTGTTGGCAGAGTTCCTGGCTAAACAGAATTGCACTTTTTCAGGAATAATCTTCACTTTCCCCAGTGAAAGTTGTTTCTGGCTAAGTAAGTCTAAAGAGTTGGACTCTCGCTAAAGAAATGTTCTCACAGCAGCTTCTTTTAATGTTTAACAAAGCACCCTAAACTGGTCATTTAAAATCCAGGGGACACAGTTACATAGCACAGAAAACTACACACAACTTTAGTTTTTGCTTTGGTAACATGAGTTTAGGAAGAAGTCCAAGTCTGGAAGCCACCATGCTGGCCCAGTCATCGAACTCTATCATTTGAAAGATGTTCCCGCTTTGCAAGGTAGAGAGGAATAAATCATAATGGATATTATACTGAGGGTGATAATAAGTCATCAGTTACCTAATGTATGCTGTCTTCTCTCTCTATCTTTATGCTGTAAGCTCATGTAGTCCCTTTATTTAAGACAGTCCCTCAGCTATTGACACATCATTGGTTGTAGTGAAATGGCTAAGAACAACCCAACGTCCTTGAGTTATCTGCTAAGACAGAAAATCACTTAATGAGTAATCCGAGCATTGAAATTCTGTCAACAACTTTTAAAAATGCAAATTATGCAAGGAACTTCTTATATAAATTGCCTATTATATAACTGAATGGAGTAATTCATTTCAACCAGCTCAGACACAGATTTGTGGGGTAGAAGGCTTTTTGCTCTTAATTCACCACCAGTGAATGGAGAGTGCTGTATGCTTAGTCAGAAAGCAATTTTGATTCACCAAGGTGACAAAATGGGGATTCAGACCCAAAGTCTATGAGATGAGAGTTAAAAAAAATCCAAGTTTTAGTAACAAGGAAGCAAAAAACTTTGTGTCCAGTTTATCTCTAACTGAGCCTCCCTATTGTTCACGCTATTTCAGTGTGTGACCACGGCTGGATCACACGTTTCACCGGATGTTTCCTTGCAGGAGCTCTGCAGGAGCTCTGCAGGGAGGGCTTCTGGTCTGTGCACTTGAAATGTTGTGATACAGAGCTGAGATAAAGGCCTGGCTCTGCACAGGCATCTCGTTTCTCTGACATAGCCAGGTATATAAGAAGGGTTTTAAAGGGAGTTGAACAGAACTTAGGTAGGTGGCTGGGAATAATGTGTTTACCCTCCATTTCTATCTCTCTTTCTCTCCACCTCCTCCATCTGTCTGACCAACTGCCTTCTGTATCTATATCTGCTGCGTTTTATCTTCAACAACTGCAGAAAAGGGTTCTTTTTAAGAGACCTTTAAGGTATGCAGGTGTACTATAGGGCTTCCAAGGCCAAGGTGACAAGCACCTCAGCAGCTGCAGAAGTCTGTTATGTCTGTCTTTACAACTGGTGAAGGGATTTGGAGATGCTCTGTGTGTGTGAGGAAGCCACTTTTGCTTACCTATTTTGTCCAGTCCTACAGGGCGGTTGCCCAGTTTGGGGTAACTTTTTTTTTCTGCATTGCACTATTGCATAGCTCCTCAGGCTACAGGGCACAACTGCCTCAAGTAGCTGCAACTGGGAAATTAAAAAAAAAATTGCATTTCAAACCGGAACAGTAGACATCTTACGGTTTTTGAGGCCTTTGCAGTAACATTACCATGCACCTTGGTGAGGCAGAAGAGACAATCTGTATTGTGAACCTTAGAAACTATCCCTTGCAAAACACTGAAGTGCATTTTTGACTCATTTTTACTCTTTTTAGCTATCTTTCTCTCTATATATCCTTTCATTCTGTGTTACAACCACATTAACTAAAGCTGATCCGTATACGAGAGAAAACCTTTTTTTTTTTGCTCTTAGAAGCATAGGGAAGTTCTTAAACCATTACCCAAATGTTTTGTTGACTATTTTCTTCCTTTATTTCAACACAGGCCTTTTACCCACAATAGGGGAAGTACATCCATGTGTACACACTGCGGCAGCTTCAGCAACAGTCGGGTCCCTCCTCGATTGCACTGTGCCCCTGCAGTCACCCCACTTCAACCCCACGGCTGTGCCCCAATCTAGCTCTGATGTACCAGGGCCGAAACAAATTATTACTGCCTCAGGAGAACACGCTTATGCCATTTCTTATTTGCAGGTGTTTGGCCTTGTGCTAATATTTATGTAGTTTGTTTGGAGGAGGCAGGGGGACTCCACCACGGTGTATAGACACTGATGAAAGGAAAGACAGTTTACTTTCCGTGCGGCATGGCAGCTTGTTATAAAAACAGCTAGGGATAAAAATCGAATTTATAACTCCATGTTTGGGATCTGCTGGAATGAATTTAACTGATACGTACTGCGCATTTCTGCTACTTTCTCAAAACGGAGGCTTTTCTGCCTAGTAAGAAGGGCACAAGTCATGCGGTGTCCGGATGATGAGACACCCGACAGGCAGGATCTCTGCGTTCCCAAACCCGGGTATCGCTCCCATGTCGCTCCCGTTGCCGCAGGTGCCCCAACACCAGCCCGACCCCTCTGGGTGCCCCGACCCCTCGGCTGCTGGGCCTTCTCCTACACCAGCCCACCGACACCGGGCAAACCGGGACACTTCTGACCAAGATTTTCCTCAAAATTTTACGCGCTCACCTTTCACTGCGTGGGAAGCCGGAGGGGAGGCAGTGCGCTGCGGGTGCAGCCAAAGAGG